CGGGGTCCAACCGATCGTAATAACACGCATACACATACACACACTTTGTTATAAAGGCTATTGAACTATGTTTACAGTGCACCGTCGGGCACGTGTTGTTTTTGTACAGCTCCAACTTTGCAGGATCGTTGAACCTTCGCTTCGTTGATTTATTTACTCAGGCGCGATTGATATCTGCTTAATGATCCGAAAAAGTGATTGTCGCGCGCGAGTTTATATCTGCTGTAGACGCCTCGACCACAACGCCTCGTTCTCCAGAATTCTACTTATTGCGTGTCAACGTACCACTTTCCTAAGCTAATGCAAATAATTTATCAAGTGCACCGATTATTAAATATTGTTGAATTCTTCTCGATTTTAAAGAAAAAGGTAAATTCTTCTGTACTTACGTGTAGCTACATTTGCCTACGAAAAAACACGTCAAATGATTCATCAAATGATTATCTTTGTTGATATAAAATTCTCGAGCTGGTAACACTTTCTTTGTACCTTGAGGCGTAAAAAAGCTCGTTTTTACATAAGCTAAATTCTAGATTGTTCAGAAAATTTAATTGATTTAATTAATTCACCTATAAGGTAGTTGATAAAAGTAGGTGATATCTGGTCCATAGCAATTATTTTCGAGCATAAATATTTTGTTATACCGATTAGTTTGTTTTGATTGGTAGCATTATTGGAAACTTTTTATCCAATAACTATGAATGGCACTGAAAGATATCCTAACGTTCTCTGTATCTGCCGATTATTCATAAAATTTCGAGCTTTTTCTTGCTTACACTTTAAAAGTTTGATACTTTTCTTTTTATTACAGGCAGTATGAATTTTCTCGCGATTTTTGCTTCAACTAGTCAGTACCACTAAATCTTACATGAAAAAATTTTTTTTCATATTAAATTGCCCAATAAGCATAATTCCGGAAAATGAACTATATTAGCCTATACACGAATAAAAACGTGTTCATCATGTACGAATTTACAGATTGATTCTCCACCTAGTTCTCTTTTTCTTATTTTATTTTATATACCACTGTAGAGTCTTATAACGGCAGAGCCGCACAAAACGTGTGAGTTCGCGCGACAAAAAACTAAATCGTAAACAACCCCTGGATACCTCGAAATCTGCTCACCTAATCGGAGCTATCCTATACATACATATTCCAAACTGGGTCATTCTCCCTCTGTCTCTCTCTCTCTCACTCACTCGATCGTGGTGGCGGCAGCTCTAAGAATCCACAGAGATTTTTTAAATACCCGTGCGCGCGCGCGCCCACATTTAAATCCTCTCTCTCCCTCGCTAATGCTCGCTTTTACGCGTCATCTCCGTTCTCGCGTCTATACGTATATAATGTCATGCATACATAAATACACATTTTCTCGCGGAACTCATCAACGCGCGCGTTCCGTACGTTGGTTCCGAAGCTTCATTTTTTTTTTCGTGAATTGGGTAGAAGAAAAAAAGAAAATAAATGAAACAACGAGCGCGCGAGAAAAGGACACCCACGCTTTTGTTGTTATACAGCTGAAAGACCTCCCAAGCTCGTGATTTCGATTTCCCCGGTGTCACGAGTCGAACATCTCAATTCGTCACTGTGGTTATATAAAACGAAATAAAAAGCAATAAAATAAAACGGAGAGGAAAGAGTTAAAAGAATAAAAAATGTTACTCTTCTACCGGAGCTCGCTCGCGCGCGCGCATAATAACTGCTACATAATGACGATAACTCGGGGCTTCTCTGCGCCACGAAGAGGAGTCTTAATAAGAGAGAGAAATAGAGAGAGAGAGAAAGTCGCCGGTAAGTCGCGACGATCTGTATATAATAGCAGAGAAAATAAACCACCTCCTTGCGCTCGCGCGAGTGGCACACGTAGAACCATACAGGAAGGACAAGGTCGTCCCGAGCGCACTCGCACACAGCTTGCACATACGAAGGCCGCAGCACGCAGCAGAGAGCACGTCTAGCGCAAAGACGATCCGCCGCAACGCAGGGGCGTTTAAAAACGATTACATAAGTCCGTACAGTGCACACGTATATAGAGCTAAATAAACGTGTTGCACACTGTAACGTCGCGAGAATGTGTGCGCGGGCGCGGGCAAAGACAAATTGTTTCTTTTTTCCCGCACACTCGCGCGCGCGCTTCGAGTCTTTCATTATACGGACAGGCGTTTGGCGTGCACGCGTGAAACGCTTAATTAGTCAATCCTCTGAATTTTTGCAAAATAATTATCACCTTGAACTTGACGAGTCCTTGTCTTTGTCTTCTACCACGTACGGGTCGTCTATAAATAATGTATATCAACTTATCTATAATTTTGCAGAGCTTTCGTTTGCACGCACTCGAGAGAGAAAATAAGAAACGAAAATTCAAATCAACGATGTGCCCAGAGTTATGTGCCGGTATTATACAGACATTTGCGAAATTACTCGATCATAACTCAAGGCGGTCGTCGCTCTTATTTTCTCATTCTCAGCGTACGTATGTGCACCTCCTCATTATGGAGCTACAAACGTCGGGACCTCTATCATCATCCCTCATGAATGTATGCGAGTGCAGCGATCAATCAGCAAACTTCCACGCGCATAATCGATGCAGACGCATACGTGTATACTCAAATACATGCGATATGCGCGGCTTATTACAGAGATACAAGCTTCAATCACTCATCGACCTAATCATTTTCCAGCAATTACAACTTGGGCCCTGGCGCGTCGTTTGCATTGATTTTCCGCTGCAAATACACGTTTTCTCTCCTCTCTCGCTCTTTCTCTCTTTCTCCTTACATACATATACTCTATTATATTATTATGGTGTATGTATATATATTGAAAAAAAGAAAGAGGGTAAAGAGAGGCAAGGCCGCGCCGCAGCCGCCGCCGCCTGCACCGCCGCGAGTTTCGCTGCAGCGGCTACCGGCGCGACGTCGTGTGTGGCCTCCCGTGAGCGCGCCGAGAGAGTCCAGAAGAGACTACTATATATATGCACGTAGTATATAGGAGAGAAAGAGGCAGAACAGCTGGTGATGCGGTACTGTATAGCGGCTGATGCTGCTGCTGCTGCTCTCTTTTTCGCAAACGACAAGACTCACGGAGATTCGCCAGAATTTTTATCTCTCCGCGTGTATTTGTCTGCATGTGTATGTGCCTTAAACGTTTCTCCAACTTTTGAAGGAGTATATATATACGAGAAAGAGGCGCAGTTGTCAGCTTCGTTGTCGTCGGCGCAACATGCGGTTTTTGTATAATTTTGCGGTTTTTCCGCTTTTCGTTATGCTCGACTTTTTTGCTTTATTACCGGCGCTGCGCTGATGCGGCTCCTGCGCTTCGCCGCCGCTGCCGCCACGAGAGTGAGAGTATAACATTATGATGATACAAGGTTTTTTTTTACTCCTCTCTTTTTCCTCGTCGAGGCTTAATGATTATATGATTACACGCGGCAACAGGTGTTTTTCTGTCTTTTGGAATTCCGACGTGTGTGTTTTATCCGCGCGATTCTCTTTTTATACGTGTTCATATAGATTAATAAAGCAATAAACAAGGCCCTTTATGGTCGATATACAAATATTTTTTACTTAAAAAATTCTAGTATTCACATAAGATTGTAAGATTTATAATATAAACCCCATTCGTATTGAGTATTAATTTAATACGTACTTATAATCTAATAAAATAGTTTTCTTCCCGTGCGCATTTGTCTTTTCTTTTTCTCTCCGTTTGAACGTCCTTATTAAAATTCTATATTTACATTCGATCATTAATGTATTTACAAATTTTTTCTCTTTTACTTTTCGAGCGGCACGTCGCTCTTGTGCTTATGGCCTCGAATAATAAAAGTAAAATGATGATAATGCGGTATGCATTTATAGGTAATATAAACGAAAAAGATTAATGACGATGCTTCTCATGCGAATCGAGTATGTATGTACGTGTGTGTGAATTACATATTATATATAAACGAACACATTCGCGCCAAGAGCCTAATTAACGATTACAATAGGCCTCGATGAAATTTCATGATTTATGAATGTATTTGCACAATTAGCCTCGAAAGTGTAAATGGAATCGCCTATTTACAATGCGAAAAAAAAGACTTTATACGATAACTACATAGAAACGCCTGTGTCATGACTACCGTACAATGAAAATTCTAGTCATCGTCGAACATGAAAATGGCATACAATATATAAACTCGTAATCTGTTTTTCGTTTACGTTGAGCATACTTTTTTGTCATCTACCGCATTACCTCGACTGTGTAGTTTTCTTTTCTAACGACTACAATATATAAAATTTATACATCACACTTTCTCATCCGGAAGAGGACAATTTTTTTCAATCAGTCAGTCTCATGCTCAACAATCAGGATCATTATACAATAAAAATAAGAACAATAATCTCTCAACTAAATGTAAAAAAAACATGACAACAACAAAAGAAAACTAGACAATTTTTTGTTATACGCGATCGTTAATTACAATATAATTGCAGAACGCATACGGTCTATCGTTTTGATCTTTTGCCTTCATTTCGGCGCGCGAATATAACGCTATTTACAATCGTGTTCTCATACAATTGACAAAATTAAAAAATTGTTACATCCAAGCGTATGATGTAACGAATACATATAGGCCTGCGTACGTTGCAGCTTTGATATACAGTATGTCGTATCTATGTACAAAAGAATACTAATAAATCTAAAAAATTCATAAATCGCAAGTACTAGTTTCGAGTACTTATTTTCTTCGTTCTTCGTCAGTACGCATAAGTTTTCTTGATTTTTTTTCTCTTCGTTCCTTTTTTTTTGGTGTGTTTTTCGAGACGAGAAATCTCGGTGCAGTCGTGCGCTTTATGTGCCGCGTGCGTAACTTCATTTTTTATTTTTTCGCTTATAATATACCGACGCGCATGACACAAAAACACACTCGTGCACAAAACACATGAATTTTCAATGGACGCATGTTTGCCTCGGTTCTATATCTCTCTCTCTCTCTCTCTCTCTTTTCTTTGGTCGTTCACTCGCAAAATACTGTTTCCGGAGGGGCAAGAGGGAGACGACGTTCTTTTAAGCTATTGCTACTGCTGCTGCTGCTGTTGCCGACGGTGCTGTTACTTTTGCTTACTGCCTTTACCATAATGCCTGTCGTCAGTCTGAAAATAGAAATGAAAACGTGATGTCTTTTCAACGTTCGGATGTGTGTGCGTGTATTATACATTATGCGCGCGAACGCGTACGATTTTCGTATGGAATATATAGATACACGTGTGCCGTTATACAAAGAAGCAAATTAGCGGAAAATTCGTAAAAATCATCCTTTGATCGGCTGCGTCTTTTGCGCATGTGTTATACTGCGTGGACCGGTTCACATCAAACGTCAATCATCGAGAGAAGGTAACAATCATTAGCGAACGAAATGCCCGAACATTAGCTCCGACGCGCGACATTCATCCCCCTGGCTAAACAAATACCCGCCTAACAAAAGTCAATTCAAAGTCTATTAGGTACGCGCGTAGCGTAGAGAAAAGAGCAAAAGGATACCGCGCTAGTTTTACCGTATATATATTTTTTTCTTTTACTACTACTTAGTATCCCACAGCGCGTTCGCTCCTAAGTGTAACAAGGCTTTATTACTTCCAATACACTTGATCTGTATAAAAGAGACACGATCTGCACGAGCTGGTGGCTGTAAAAGGCCTGAGCGAGTATGAGAAAGGAAAAAGGGGGCGATCGACTTAAAATCTTGCATTCGCGCGGGCTGGTAATCCTCTTTTCATAAAAATTTGCCAAATTCATCGTCGTCGCGTACGCGCACTAAAAGCTCAACTTTGTGCACACTTAAAAACGTACAATGTCAAGGATGCGACCTTCAAATTTCGCTAAGTCAAAATTCGCAGAATTGCGCAATAAAGAAGGAAGTGGATTTTAGAGAAGAAGAGGAGAATTCGATAATACAGGCTGTTTTTTGTTTTGATTTTTTTTCTCTCTTTTCAACTTGTTGTTGTCGTCGTAGGACTGATGTACACCTGTTAAAGTTCGAAAAACGTTCGTTCGTAAAGAGGTGAACAGAGAAAAAATGAAGAAGAAGAAGAAGACGATCGCGCGCGCGCTCGCATGCATTCGAAATCGCAAATTTTATTCGATTTAAAATTCAGCTCCGATCGACTCGTAACTCTCGAAGATTTTTGACTTATGCTAATGATTGCGAGACCCGTTCTCGTACGCATGATCGTATAGTCACTTATAAATTCTCAGGCATTTTTATCAAACGATTCAGAAAAATATGCTTGCCGCGCAGCGACGGAGATGGAGATCGACAAATTTTTATTTCGATCGTCGCATTCGTATGTAAAAATTAGCTATACAACGGCGCCGCTCCGTTTTATACAATCCACAACTTTCATAATCGTAAAAAAATTGTAATAAAAAAAGGGAAAAAACGAGTCATTTACCCAGAGTCAAGGCGCCAAAGGCGCAATGCGTCAGCGCCGAGTGAAGCAGCAGCACCAGTCCGAGCAACAGTATCCTCCAGGACTGGCTGGCCGACGTCGTCGTGGAGGCTCTGCTCGGCACCTTGTTCGTCCTGACGTCGCCGCTACCGCTCGATTGACTACCACCCTTGCCGTGTCCGTTGGGACCACTCGTACGATCACCGGCACCCGAGCTCGACGACGTCCTGTTGGGCATGTCGTCGTAGTTGTGCCTCGGCGAGCTGGGCTTGTTGAAGCAGAGCACCTCCATGTTGCGCTGTATGGCGTTGCAGTCGTAGTCCTCGGTGCCGTCGCAGAAGCACGTGCTCAGCTTGGCCGCCTTCTCCTGTCGCCGCAGGATGTTGATCGAGTTGCGGCAGCTGCAAGAGTTCGTACGTTGAGTATATAAGATCGTGAAGAATATATGCATATATAGCGTACGTTTAGAAAGAGAGACGCGCCCGCAAGATGAAGCGCAGAAGAGAGATGGAGCGAAAAAGAGAATCGAGGAGGATAAGGAGAGGAAAGAGAGAGAGATTTTTATTGCTTTGTTTTCGCAGAGCTTGAGGCGATTAGCCGTTGAGTTATGTGTGTCGTTTTTGTATACGCGTATGGAAAAGAGAAGCTGCTGTGCATGTGCTGTTGTATGCGCGGCTAATACCGTAGACGACGGAGAATGATATTATAGCCGCAGCGTTGCCTCCACTACACTCGGATCAAAGTCAGCATGCGGACGATTTGTATAATAGCGTGACAATCGCTACATACGTGCCTCGGCATTTCTCTCTCAAAAAAGTATCGTCTCTCTTATTTATATTCATTATTATTTTTATTATAGAGAATAAATCGGCACGAACGCGACGATATATAATGTTATATTATACGATATACTCACTGTTTGGTGCACTTTTTGCCGTGGAACATGCGCTTGCAGTAGCCGTTGTAGTACTGCAACGCCGTGGAGCACTGCACGTCGCCGTTGCAGATCCACTGGGCCACTCGGCACGAGACTCGCTCGCGATTCAGGGTCGACGTGACCGAGGCCCGACAGATCTCGGCGCGCTGCTTCGATCTCCGGCACAGGGCGTCGTCCTTGGCGCATTGACACTGCGGAACGAGACGAGATTATGATAATATAAAAATTGGTCGTTTAAATAAAGATTTACTCGCTTAGAACGGATATAAGCAATTTTTATGCATACTTGCCACGTTAATCGTTGTCTGAAGACAATAAATTCAATCAAGCCCGAAAGCTCGAGCCACCGTTATAATAACTCACCGTCATGAGCTCCTTGCCCTCGTCGGTGCTCATGAGTCCTATGAGGGCGTGCTGGCAGAACTCCGGGCACTCGTTGACGTCGCCCTGCAGCACCGAGGCGCACCTCGTCAGGTAGTGCTGGAGCGCTCGGCCGCAGCCGGCCCTGTAGGCGCAGCGCAGATTCGCGTCGTCGCATCTCATGGTCGCGTTGACGGCCTGCGCGTCGACTTCCTCCTCGCCGCCGCCGCTACTTCCGCCCGAGGTCGTCGTCGTCGTCGCCGTTGTGTCGTTTTCGCCATTATTGAGCCTGATGCCGAGGCTCGTGGCTATGGGAAACAAACGCGACGCCGATACGAAGACTGTGTCGAACGACTGGACTAGCAGCAGGAAGTACAATAGTAACGGTATTGACGATCTCATCTCGACGCGATGAGCTGTGCCGCAGCTGCTGTTGTCGTTGCTCTTGTTGTTATGGCTGTCGACTCACCGTTGCTGCTGCTGCTGCTGCGAATATATGCAGGAGGTTAACAACACAAGGAAAAAGTAAATTATCGATTGCAGTCGAATTTTAAGTATATAATTTCAATACATTGTGCGGACAGTGGAGTGTGTGTTTGCACAGCTTTTCTACGCGCGTGGGAGAGAAGCATGAGAGATCGGCGGATATGCGGATGTGCAGCGCGAAAACTGCATCTCGAGCGCACGGGATATCCTACTACACTCGATCTATACACAGTGGCGATTTCTGTTCTCGCAGCTCTCGAACGCGATTCTCACACACTCGCGACTGTGTGAAATTTGGTTCGCCGTACTGCTACTACTACGTACGCGAGATCATCGTCAATCATCGAAAGAGAGAGAGAGAGAGAAGAAAAAAAATCAAATTTTGAATTTCAATAATCAGAAAGTGAAGAGAATCAGTACTGCTGCGGCTCTCGAAGACGCGAGGCTCACTGGGCCTATACAATATCAGCCGCGAAATCCTATCTCTCGGGTTCGAGCCGATGCGTACATAAATCACCATAAACAATATATTTCTCCGTTGAAATGATGTATTAGGAGAAAAGCCATATTACCATTATATAACGAGCTGCCCTCGAAATACCTCGTATTATAGTGTGGCCAAATCGCTGTGGCTTCTTTTCACGTCACGGCCGGCCGAAAAATTTCAATGTCGAGCGCACACGCATTAATCAGGCATTAGAATGGCCTAATAAAGCTCTCGCTCGTGCGAACGCGTAACATCTTTCAATTTCTTTGGCTCGCGTAGCATTCATAAATTAATGTAAAAAAGATACGATTAATCAAGGACTTTTTATATACATGCAATGAATTGATTGAAGGAACAAAAAATTCGCATATCTTTTGATGTGGAACCTCTTTGTTCAAGTTGGGTATGAGAGTATTCATGTGAAAAACGAGTGAAAGAGCTAATGCGATAATTGTAGGAAATTAAAATTCGACACATCAACAAATTCAAACGATAAAACTTAAATTCAAGCTAATGTATAAATCCTATTTAAAAAATATTACTCTTTTTTTTTAAATAAGTGGAAGTTTCTCAAAATTCAAGAATAATTCAAGTCTAACCAAATTGACACATTTGATTTAAATAAATAAATTTAATCAAATCACTTCTGATGATTTGGTTATCTAACAGCCATAGACACGAGAAGAGAAATTGTGTAGACTCTTTTTGCTTTTTGATCGTATTATTTTATGTTCATTTTTTAATGATTTAAAATTGAAATTATTAATTTGCTTCAACTATAATTTTTTTCTTAGAAGTTTGTTAGAATTTTCATTATACTTTTTTTAACACAGCTGTTTGTTTTAAAAAATGTCTCATAATTTTGTAGGAAAATGCACGGTTTAGTATTTCGAAGTTCGTTTTGTATTGTAAATATTTTATCGGAATTAAAGATGTTATATTTAGTTACGAGCTTTTCAATTCTATCAACAGATGGAGTATTGTGAATTCGCAAGTGACAAAATAATTTTCGATTAGTATATATAGTACATATTAAATTCGCATCGAATTAGTAAATTGAAGTTACGTAAATTAGTAGTCGTCGTTGATGTTGGCCAAGAGTTGATGCACATACTTTTCTCTGTTTTTCTCGTGCGACGCAAGTGCGATAAAGTCGCGCGGTTCCGTAGCATAATATATACACGCGCGAGCGCATCTGCGACGCGTACGGGGCCTTATAAGTTACTCGATATGCGACAGCGTATTCGTATTTCAAAATAAACAATGCTGGAATTTAAATGGCGCGAGCCCCGTTTGATCTGCTCTGTATATGTATATTTGTGAGCTTCGTCAACCGGAAGTAAGCTCGTACGTACGTCCGTATTAATACGGGCCGACGTATGCGAGAGATCGGGTGCATCGCTCGTTCGCCGCGACTATTTGATAACAACGAGTTTATTTACGCTCAGGAATATAAGGTAAAAAGTCGAAAGAAGAAAAGTAAACATCGGAAGAAGAAAAATGTATAACTCGATATACATAAATAACGAAAATAAAATAGAGAAACTTTAGGCGCACGAAGCAGGGCGAGTATGGCGAGTCGAACGTGTGTGCTATACGACTCCTCGAGAGAGAGAGATATAGGTATATATTAGAATTTCAAATGAAGTCCGCGCGCCATGCAGCCGCCGTCGCGGACGCCGCGCTCGCCATGCAGCAAGCAAAATAAAATCGGTGAAGGCACTAACGAAGCCTTGTAAAATTTTTATCAATATATACCGTCTCGAACGACGACGACGACGACGACGTCGTTCTTATATGCGGGACTCGTGCAGCATTACAACAGCCTGTCTCTCGTCTCTATCTTCATTTTAATACACATACAGTGAGAGAGAGAGAGAGAAGGAGTTGCTCGCTCGGCCCAGCGCCGGACACTCGTTTATATAAATATATAAATGTATACAATTTCACGTCGAGAGTCCGGGCGCGTACGTGTATGCACTGCACAGACGCGTATTCATGAACATAATAAAGTGTGTGCATATATGATACATTTACACACTTTTACGCGCACGTATAACTGCGGGCGAGGGTCGAGTCGGAGGATTTTATTTAGCCTCGGTGAGTGCTTTCGTGCGTTTTCAGCGAGTGCGTTATCGAAGCTTTTACGAGTCTCTCGCGCGCGCTATATAATACCCGCGCACGCATATATGATTTATCGATCGATCGACGTTACGCGCGCCGAACGACAACGACAACAACAAATCGTAAAAACGCACGTACGTAGCGCGCGATGATCGGTACCATAATACGCTACAAGAAACATGCATATTATACGCGTGCCGCGAGCTTTATACACACGCGTATATGCGTGTATAAAGTTTGTGGGCAATATTTACACGAATACAAGAACCGCAATAATCTCTCTCTACGGGTCGGTGGCGGTGGCGGCTCGCGTGGCCTCGAGACAAAAGTTTCTGTCGAACGTTTGAAATGTCCCGGCACACCCGTCGTTTGCCGCGCGCCCGATCGCCTCTCTCTCTCTCTCTCTATACATACGTGAAAAAAAACCGGACGAAATCCACAGGAGACCAGGCCAGCAGGCATGGCTCGCGAGAGAAGCTGGATCTTGTCTCCGGCTATATAATAATACTACTATTACTACTACAACTACTACTATACTCGCACCAAAGCACACACGTACGTATATATCCAGAGAGACTGTATGTATATAGAGGCGAGCTCGTGAGCTCTCGTGCGCGTGTATATACTCCTCCGCAGCTCCGTATTTAAGTTAGTGTGTGTGTATGCGAGCCTCTCTCTGGTTCTCTCTTTCTCTCTCTCTCTCTCTTCGTTCACCGCACATCGAGATCATTACCCTCTCTGCACACACATATATATACTCACAAGCTCGAAAGAGAGAGAGAGAGAGAGCCGGAGAGCGCGCGCAAATAACTCAATCTACTTTTGCGCGCTGCACAGCTCGTGAGGCTCGTGCGCGCGTGTGTATACGTGTATCCGTGTGTATATAGTGTGTATGTATACATAGTGTGTTTATAACGCAGCGAGCGTCGTGCGGTGCAGTGGCGGCCCCGTGCACGGCCACAGCCAGCGACCGCGGCCTATACGCGCGATAATCTCTCAATATAAATATGCGTGCGTGTATTTATATTACAAGAGGAATATTCACCTTAACTATTTGTCTCGTTCACCCTTTCGGTTTGTTGTTTTTTTTCTGACGTTTTGCACCCGCGAAAACACTCACACGACACACACACAATTTCTTCTTCGTGTTCGCGACACTGCAGCGCGCGCGAATCTATTTGAATATCCTCGTTGTTGGTTTTTTTTTGTTGCCTCTCTCTCTCTCTCTCTCTCTCTCGAATATCATCTGAGTACGAGCATGATCTTCATTGTCTTCGGTGACTTGTTCTTGCGAGGTGGAGGGACACAGTGAAAAATTTCAATCACGATCGGTATAAACAATAACCAAAACTGACAAACAAAAAACAAAGACTACAAACAAAGATAAACAAAAACAACAACAATAACAAACAATCGGCAAAAGAAATCGGAGCGCTCGAAAAATCAGAATTCTCTGCTGGAGCGCGAATATATTATTCGAAGAGGAGCACAGCTTTTATAAACGTGGGGGCCGCGAGCGCACACACGCTTCTGAGCACAGCCTCCGAGGAACTAGATTGAGTTGTGACGGCCACTACAGGCCGCGCTTCGAAGGCAGCAGTTTTGTGCATGGAAAGAGAGAGAGAGAGAGAGAACCTCGACTAAATCCCCACTTCTCCTCCTCATCGTCGTCGTCTCTCTTGGAGCTGTAAAACGACTTATGTATAAAACTTCCTTCTCTCTTATGTGTATAAACGGGGGCCCGTATAGAGGCACAGACACACACACACACAAACCTACACACTAACATGTATCTATATATGCTCCTCAAAGAAGCGAGAGAGATGGAGATAGCGAGAAAGAGAAAGAGAGAGAAAGAGAAAGACAGAGTGGGGAAAACGACTCTCCCCGTCTCTGTCTCTCGTATACACATTATACGATGTGCATGTGTGAATGTGTGTGTGTGGGTACGTTCTCCGATTGGAACCAACCCCTCACATGCATGCATGCATGTATGTGCACCAAAGAAGAAACTGCCTGATTGAGATACCAAGTTGCGAGCGCGCGCGCCACCGACCGACCGAGCGGCTCTCTCTTCCTTCGCCTTTTTTTCTCTTCTTTTGTCCGTCTTTTCTTTCTTATTTTTCTATATATATACGTACGTGTATCGAAAGAGTATGCGTGTGTATGCGCGAAGAACTAAGAGAGAGAGAGAGGCTGAGATTCGAATACATGGACATAAACACAGGGTGCAGCTTGTGCTGTGTGCGTACAGGTTCTCAACTTTATATAACGCACACACACACATACACCATCACGGAGAATCGGTTTGTGTGATGCAGCCTG